CCCCCCCCCCCCCCCCCCAAAAAAAAAAGCTGGGTTAAAAATATGTAGCTATACATTTGTTCAAAAGGAGAGAAAATTCCTTCTTCTGGGGGTATGGAGTAACTTTTCAAAACAACAAAGCCCACTAGACAAATGTATTTGGGGGATTGGATGGAATAGGCCAGGCAAGCTTTCTTTCCTTGTCTTCTCTGTTAAAAGCATCATAGGTGGAGTCTTTGGTGACACTTTTGGCTGTAGCTGGAATATCTGCAATACCAACATGATTTTTTTTTGCTATCCTGGAACTGGTGGTGATGGTGTATGCATTGCTTCTGTAGCATTTCATGGCAGACATGCAAAAAGTTTCTTTCATCCCTCTTCTGAAGTTTGCATTATAGATTGAGTAGAGGGTTGGTTTAGAGGCTGAGGAACTGAAGGAGATCCAGGTGATGGTCAGGAAAAGCAAGGAGCTCTTTCTGTAGTCTGTTTCCTGTGGGTGCCACAACTGTACTGTGAAGAAAGGCAGCCAAGACAGCAGAAACATTGAGTTTAACATTAAGAACATCTTGATGGTTTTTACTTTTGTTCTTGGAACAATATTTGTTGTTCTTCTGACAGTCATTCCATCTGTGCTTATTCTCCAAATGTACTTAATGACTTTCTGGTAAAAAAGGCTAATGAGGAGGGACGGGATCAAAAACACCAAGAGGAGGTGGATGATACTGTAGGCAGATCCTTGCCAAGAACTGGGAAGAAAAAAGTTGCAGTGGTGGTCACTGTTGGAGCCATAGAGAAAACAGGCTGGTGATGCAAACACAGCACCACAGAGCCAAGACGTCAAAATCATTTTTTTGGCTTTCCCCCTGGACACTTTGAAGCTCAGGGGGTAGACAATGGTGTAGAATCGATCCACGCTGATGGCGAGGAGCACATAGATCTGGACTCCAGGCGTGAGGTACTGGATGTATCTGACCAGCTGGCACACCCTGCTGCCCAGCATCCACTGCCCAGAGCTCAGCTGCAGCAGCAAGAAGGGCGCGCTCCCCACGCTGCTCACGAGGTCTGCACAGGCCATGGACACCACAAAGTAGTTGGTGGTGGACTGTGTCCTCCTGCTCCTGTGGATCACTAAGCAGACAAGGAAGTTTCCCAGGACAGAGATCAGCCACAGAGCTCCCCAAACCACGGTGGCAGCTGTGATTTCCCCCGGCCTCAGCCCATATTCTACCAGAGAGTGGTTCATGCTGGAGCCGGCTCCTGGTGGTGGAGGTTCTGCCATCTCGTAGCCAGCAGGAGAGGTGGAGGCTTTGGGGCTGCTCGTGTTCTGCAGCAGGAGCAAGGTAAGGAGAAAAACAGGACCACTGCTGTTATCCATGCTTTGAGCAAACTCAGCCACGTCTTTTGCTCAGGCTGAAGACAGAGAGGGGAGAAAAGGTTCTTTTGAGCAGCTGTGTATGAAAAGCCCATCTTAACCCACAAAAGAATATTCTCAGTAGTAGAAATATATACTGTGACTTCTGTATTTCATGAATAACACTGAAATACAGCTTCTGTGTTCCACTGTAGCTGGTGGTATGACAGGCTGTGTCAGGGGGATCCCATCCCATTCCCTGACTGGTTTGAGGTGGCTGCCAGCCTTTCATGCCCTTTTACACCCTTTTCACTTTTGTTCCTCACATCCCCACTCCACATCTGCGCCATGTGCACCATGACCCCAACCCTGCCTTTGTGGGGGGAACAAGAAGGGCAGGACCCTTTGGTCAACACAGAGGGTCTCCAGGTAATAAGAGGCCTCAGTCCTAAGAAATTTCTGGACTATTACCATGTATGTCCACAAGCCCTGACCAGACCAGGTTATAGCCCCTATGGTTTTCCTAGGAGCAGGATGTCTGTGGTGGGAAGCCCTTCCCTTGGGACTGGAGTGCTGCCCAAGGAGACTTCCTTGGATTGAGCACTCTCACCACCAGCCCCATACCTCTGGAAGAATGACTGTTTTGATCTTGAGTGATCCTTACACCCTTGTGGATGAAGTGACCTGAATTTCTGGGAGCCCTTCAGTGAGAGGCCTTCAGCACGAGCACTTTGGGCCATTGTTCTTGTCTGTGGAATAACATTGTCCCCAACTGGTGACACCAAACCTATCACCTGTCAAATGTCACTGCCTGTAAATTACAGTTTGTCTGAGGGAGTTACCTGTGAAATTGTTCTCTTGCACCCTCCTTGCAGACACACCGCAGAGTGTGATGGGTGTGGCCTTGTGTTCTATGCCTGTATTGCTAGATAGTTCCCAGTGTTGCGTTTAGCCAGATGGTTGGGTTGGACTTAACCTGTCTCAGGGATAAAATGGAAAATTAGCTGATTTTAGTGGCTATACGCGTGCATCATCTTGGCATGCAAAGCCTTTTACTCACTAGACTCACTAGACTTTTACTTTGTCAAAAGACAAAGTCTTTTCTATTGGTCTGCTGTGAGAATGCTGAACTCCAGGGCTTGATAATGTGCAAGATAAATCAGGATTCAGTCACGAGCAGAAGATCAAAGAGTTTATCCTAGAAGCCAAATAAACAAGCTCAAAAAGCCACCACCATCCTCCTCAGCTTTCCAAGTGATCCAAATTCCCAGGTTTGCTTCCAGATGGGCTTTTTTCAATGTTTTTGCATCTTTTAGTCTGGCTCTGTGTCTACCACCTATTTTCTTCTCCTTGTCTGCCTACTCAGAACAAAGCCCGAAAGCATAGAGCCACTGGATGAATTTGGGGTTTCACCCCTTGTGCTGTTTCCTATGTCCCCTTCAATAATGCAGTGCAAAAAATTGTCAGAGGTGGAAGAAGAAAAGATGTGTTAATTGCTTGTTGTGATTATAGAAGATTTTTTCCTCTAGGTTTTTAAAGCCTGTACTCGGTGTGACATTGTTTGTGTGATGTGAAGGGGAGCTGTCAGCATGTCATACATTGCCCCTTGTCCCCTTCTCTGCAGGAGGGCTGTGGGTACCGCCCAGCCTGGCTTTGCCTTCCCCCTCATCCTTGGTTGCCTTCTCCCTCATCGTTTTCTTAGTGGCTTTGCCTGGCAGATGATTCCTGATTTCTCAGAGGGCTCCTGTTTGTCTTTTCTCACCCTTCTCTGGATGGAGGAAGAAATCCTACTGTCACCAGCTGTTGGCAGGGCATTTGCGCTGCTGTGTTTGGAAGAGTAGCAGGATGCATTGTCAGTGCAACCTGCTAAATTACCTGTTAGAATTAGCTGTAATAAAATAATACACGTGGAGCCTATTAACTAAATAGAAAGGAACATTATGGGATAATTTTCTTCCTTAATTTCCCTTCTTGCCATGCAGAAGTATGTGCCATTTAAAAATAGCCAGCTGTACAAATTAAGCTTTATAGAAGATTAATCAGATAAAATGTCTTGACCAGTATTGAAGAGCAGTGGAAATCTGGTACAAAAATGAAATGGCCTTTCTAAGCTGTTAGGGCAGGCAGACTTGCTAACACTGTTCTCATTCTATTTCTCCTTGTGAGCCAAATCTGCTGTCCGTGTCTGCTCAGACCTGACACATATAGTTTTGCAGGTGGGTAAACCCCAAAATTGTTACAGGGTTTAGTGCCCAGATAGTACTTTTTGGCTTTGTCCTGGGTTGATTATGATGTTAAATTGTATCCCCATTCGTCCACCTAACCCAGACACAAGTTTTGTATTCTTAAAATTCCATCTAAGAGTAAAAGTGAGTGGAAAAGAAGCACCGAGTCTGTTATCAGAGACTGTACTGGCTCCCCCCGCATCGGGAGTTTTGACTACAGCACAGACAGACAACAAGACACAGATCACCTTGGCTTTCCAACTAGCCGGAGCAGAGAGGTCTTCCTGGACTGTTTTCTTTCCCTTTTTATGAAACGAATCGAACCTGCTCTGGACCGGGGACTCGGGGGAGCACCGGGAGCTTGCACCCGTGGACTACCGGGAGCCCAGCCTGGGCAGCGGCATTTTCCAGCACCAGAGGGACTGATAACAGAGAGAACACCCACAAGAAAGAGACCCTCTGAAGTTTGTCATCTTTTCTGAATGGCGAGAGGTTTTGTAATTTGATATAATTCATTTTTGTGCTGGGTAGTGCTGTGCCTGTGAAATAAACAGGTTTTTTCCACTTCTCTCAGAGAAATCTCTTCCCGAACCGGTTTGGGGGGGGTGGGAGAAAAGGGCCACGTGGGTTTGCTTCCCGGGGGGAGCCCCACTGGAGGTTTTCTCCCAAATTTGCCCTAAACCAAGACAAATACATTCATTGGCGCCTAACGTGGGGCATGAGAAAGTGAAAAAACCCTGTACTGATTGTATTGAAGTGGCAATTACTTTGTATTGAGATAAGATAAAGCAGTCCCTAGCCATCCAGCCATGCTGCTTAAATTAATAATGTCTTTTGAGGTACAAGCCTTCATGTGTTTCTGGTCGCTAGGCTTTTTTGAGGTTTTAATACCTTTATGGTCCCTTGGTTTATTTTCTTATCCACAACTAGCCCCGGTATTGTCCCTAACACATAGCTTTTACAGTAGAAGAGCACTGATTAAAATAGCTATTAGGCTATTTTAATTATTTTAATTATTTTATTAGGGCCTAGTGATTATGATTTCCAAGAAGTTTATTCAAGTGCTAGAGTCTGTTCCAAATATAAAAGATTCATGAGTATGGTTATGCACCCAGTTTGTTAGAGGAGGAGCAGGGAATGAGGCTTTTCAACCTTTCCTTTCCTTCTCCTCTGAATCGGTTACATCACTATTAGAGAGTGTTCAGTTTCCCCTGAATGTTAAAGAGACCATCTTTCTGGCATTTAATCTGGTAAGTTTCCTCTATACAGTCTTCAGCCTCTCTAAAATGAAAGCTGAAATTTCTAGAAGGACTGGTAAGACCCCTAAACCAAGCATAGAAAATCCTGAGTGAAGTAGAGAATGGGACGATATAGGCCAAATCCTGAAAGAGTTTTCTGACCCTGTAGTCTGAGACTTTCCACATGAACAAAGTCTGAATCCAGCTGAAGTGGAGAAATACCTGAAAGAAAAGTGTCAAGATAATTCCAAAGAAAAAAAGATCATTGCAGTAAGCTGGGCCCTGGCATATGCTTATCGTACATTGCTGGATACTGTACGGCAGCAAACAGGAGGAAGGGGACAGGGAGATAAATCAACAGTTACCCCAATTACTCAGGCTGCAGCCAACCTCCCACTTATAAAGCTGGTAGCTAAACCGGACAGCAAGCCTCAACCAATGGCTGTTGCTACTAGCACAAGAAGTGGAAAGTGCACAGATAAAACCGATCGACCAGTGGATGATGATGATGATGATGATGATGATGATGATGCAGGAGAAGGACCCTCAACGCCTCCTGACACAAAACCAAGACAAGATCAGAGGCTAATATTGAATCCTTTTCCCTGAAAGATCTTCGTGGCCTGAGGAAGGACTACACTTGACGACCTAATGAATCTATAATTAGTTGGTTAGTCCGTCTGTAGGACACCGCAGGTGAAGCTACAGTTCTAGATAGCACTGAAGCGAGGCATCTAAGATCCCTGTCACATGATCCAGTTATTGACCAAGAGATGATGAGGAGAGCTAACCCTCGCAGTCTCTGGGCACAGGTCCTTGAAAGTGTAGCCCAAAGATATCTGTGTATAGATGATTTCTACATGCAGCAAACTCAGTAGAAAGCCATCGAACAAGAGATCCAACACCTGAAAGAAATAGCAGTAGCAGATTGTTTTTTCAGATGACATACCAACTAAGAATCCAGACTTGGTGCCATGTACATCCGTGATGTAGCGAAAATTAGTACGACTTGAGCCACAAGAATATGCATCTGCTTTAGCAATAATGAAACGGGATGAAAGAGAAGAGACCGTGCTGGATATGGCGAAGAAGCTTCGAGCATACGCAGATGCCGTGCATGGCCCCACACATGCAAGAATCACAGCTGTGGAAACACGTCTGCAGAAATTAGAAAATAAGATAGAAGAGAATCACAAAAAACTTAAAAATAAGATTAAAAAAAACCTTCTCCAAATCTCAGCAGTACAGATCAGAGGTCCTGGCACTCAACGCAGACATTCCCCAGATCGGGAGAGAAGGTATACCCCACGAGCTGAGCTGTGGTTCTTCCTGCGTGATTGCGGAAAAAACATGAAGAGATGGGATGAGAAATCTACTGCAGCTCTGGCACAACAGGTGCGTGAATTGAAAGAGGAGAAGAGTCACAAAGGAAGTTCCACAAAAAAAAAAACAGCTCCAGTTGCCCATAGCCAAACTGCCAGGTATGATGATGATGACATGTCCAATCCCCTTGAAAGAACATCCAAGACATATACCAAAAGAAAGAAAGATAACCAAGCTTAGAGGGGCCCTGCCTCTAGCCAGGTAGAGGCTAGGGAAAATCGTGTTTTTTGGACTGTGTGGATTCGTTAGCCTGGCACATCAAAACCACAAAGATATGAGGCCTTAGTTAACACTGGTGCACAGTGCACGCTAATCCCATCAAGACATGTAGGGGCAGAATCTGTTTCTATTACTGGCGTGACAGGGAGATTGCAGGATTTTACCTTAGTGAAAGCAGACGTGAGCCTGACTAAAAACGAATAGAATAAACACCCTATTGTGACAGGCCCAGAGGCCCCATGCATTTTGGGCATAGACTACCTCCGAAGTGAGTATTTCAAAGACCCAAAAAGATTCAAGTGGGCATTTGGAATAGCAGCTGTGGAGACAGAGGGTGTCCAACAATTTAACACCTTGCCTAGACTGTCCGAAAATCCATCTACAGTAAAACTTCTGAAGGTAAAAAACCAGCAAGTACCAATTGCCACCTCAACGGTGCACCGCCGACAATATAAAACAACTCGAGATGCTGTGATCCCCATCCACAAAATGATCAGAGAGCTGGAGAGCCAAGAGGTGGTCAGCAAAACCCACTCACCCTTCAACAGCCCCATCTGGCCTGTGCGTAAATCTGAAAGAGAATGGAAATTGACTGTAGACTATCATGCATTGAATGAAGTGACTCCACCACTGAGCGCTGCCGTACCGGACATACTGGAGCTCCAGTACTAGCTGGAGTCCAAGGCAGCGAAGTGGTACGCCACATTGCCAATGCATTTTTCTCCATTCCCCTAGCAGCAGAATACAAACCTCAATTTGCCTTCACCTGAAGGGGAGTGCAGTACACCTGGAACCGACTACCTCAAGGGTGGAAGCACAGCCCCACCATCTGCCATGAACTGATCCAAGCTGCCCTGGAAAAAAGTAAGGCTCCAGAACATCTACAGTACATAGATAACATCATTGTGTGGGAGAGCACAGCAGCAGAAGTGTTTGAGAAAAGAGAGAAAATCATCCAGATCCTCCTAGAAGCTAGTTTTGCCATCAAGAAGAGCAAAGTTAAATGACCAGCTCGTGAGATTCAGTTCCTGAGAGTAAAGTGGCAAAATAGACGGCTTCAGATTCCTACTGATGTCACCAACAAGATCATAGCAATGTCTCCACCAACTAATAAGAAAGAAACACAAGCTTTCTTAGGTGCCATAGAGTTTTAGAGAATGCATATTCCTGAATACAGTCAAATTGTGAGCCCTCTTTACCTGGTCACTCGGAAGAAGAATAATTTCCATTGGGGCCCTGAGCAGCAAGCCTTTGCTCAGATCAAGCAGGAGATCGCCCATGCAGTAGCCCTTGGCCCAGTCAAGACAGGACCAGATGTGAAGAACGTTCTCTACTCTGCAGCCGGGAGCCATGGTCTGTCCTGGAGCCTTTGGCAGAAGGTGTCTAGTAAGACTCGAAGCCGACCATTAAGATTTTAGAGTAGAAGCTACAGAAAGTCCGAAACCCATTACACCCC